TTTTATCAGAAGTATTGGCATATCATTGGTAACTCTGTAACTAACTTCTGTCAGAAGGTCTTCAAAACCCAATCTCTACCAAGTGGTATCAATGATACATTTATTTGTCTCATTCCTAAGTTTTCCAATGCAAACAACCTTAAAAAATTTCGACCTATTGGTCTTTGTAATACCTCCTATAAGATAATCACTAAAGTTATTGCTAGTAGGATAAAACCCTTTATTCCTTACCTTATTAGTCCTATGCAATCTAGCCTTATTAAGAATAGGAGAGCCTGTGCTAATATCATTATCATCCAGGAAATTATGAATAATCTTCGTAGAACAAAAAGATCCAACTTTGATATAATAATCAAATTAGATTTGGAAAAGGCCTTTGATAGACTTGAATGGTCTTTTGTGTATAAGACCCTTAAATATTTCCAATTTCCTCCCAATTTATCTCGTCTTATTATGCATTGCATAAGTACTAGTTCTATGGGAATCCTAGTGAATGGTGCCAGAACAAATTTTTTCCAGTTCAGTCGAGGCATTTGTCCGGGTGATCCCATATCTCCCTATATATTCATACTTTGCCTTGAACTACTTTTTAGATTAATAAATCACCAAGTAGACACATTAAGATGAGATCCAATCTATATTAGACAAAGACCCCTCCTTTTTCTCATATTCTTTTTGCTGACGATATAACCCTAATGGGGAAAGCAAACAAAAAGATAGGTCATTGCATAAAATCATGTATGATTTTATGCTGTGTGAAAAATATGGGATAGACATTAACACCTGTAAATCAAGGATTGTCCTACCTAAGTATTGCCCCCATGACTTTAAATTATTTCTAACAAGCCTCTTTGGTATAAAATCCACCAATGAATTTGATAAGTACCTTGGCTTTCCAATCCTCAATCACTCTCCCATCACCAAGGACTTCCGATTTATCATAGATAAAATGCAAACCAAGCTGTCCCTAGAAATGCGCTTTCCTAAACATGACAGGAAGGACTACTCTATCTTCTAGTACTTTAAGTGCAATTCCTACTCACTCTATGCAATACACCCTTCTCCCCCTAAAATCGATAAAATCCAAAGGGACTTTATTTGGGGATCCACCAGCATAACTAAAAATCTTCACCTAATTAGCTGACATAATGTTACAAAGGATAAAAATGAGGGAGAGTTGGGTATTCGTCCTGCTAAAGCTAAAAATTTAGTTCTACTCTCTAGTCTTACATGGAGACTATTAAAAAATCCTACCGTTCCCCGGGGCCACATGATTATGGCCAAATATGCCACACAAAAAAACCATCACTAACACATCCTTCATCTAGAAATCTATCCTAAAAGGATGGAAAGCGTACAACAAGGGCATTCTTTGGCATCCATCTATTAACTCCACGATTAATATTTGGTATACCAATTGGATTTACAACTCAAATTCCCTTAGAAGCTCAATAGAAGGGCCTCTAAGTAGAAACGACCAAATTCTTACTATATGAGCCTCATCCATAACAAGGAATGGGATACAAAAGTTATTTCCTTTGAATTGCTCGATGATATCCTTAACAATCTTAACATTGCCCTGGTCCATAGTGAGAGATCATATATTGATAAAACACGCTGGTGTCTCAACTCAAATGATCTGTTTTCCACCAAATCTTGCTATAAACTCCTTTCTGAAGACAACCCTACTTCCAAGCCTTTTGAGTGGATTTGGAACCCCCATTTCCCAAATAAAATAAAGTTCTAACTTTGGCAATGCATGCACAATCGTATTCCTTGCCGAGCCTACCTAGCCAAAATAGGTATCAATATTGATGCTACCTGTACCATTTGCAAATCTGGGGTAGAGGACATTCAACACATTTTTGTTAATTGTCTAGTCTCTAACCGTCTCTGACGAAAAATGGGTCTTCCCTCTATAAACATTATTACTGACACAAATTAGCTAGTAAAGTTGAGAGATATCTTTATTCAAAACTGTAAACTACAGATAAAGTGGACTTACCTATTTCCCTTCTCCATATGGGAGTTATGGAAGAACAAAAATTATAATAATATCAACAATCTTAATAACTACATGGAAATAGGGAAACTTATCCATCCGTCCTGGGAATTCATTTTCTTCACTGAAAAAAATCTGTTATTGGAAAAAATAGTCAAAATTGAACAGTTGTAACAAACATCCTAAATATATGATCAAATTAAATTATGATGGTGCTTTTTTAGTAACAATAATGCAGCTGGGCTTGGGGAGCATTCCAAACTAGTAAAGGAGATTGGATTATGGGATACCACAAAACAAGCCAAACAATTTCTTCTACTCAAGCAGAGCTGTTGGCATTGCTAGAAGGACTAAAAATTGCAAAAGAAATGAACTTCCTAAATCTGGAAATTGAAAATGATTGTACGGATATCATCAAACTTATTTACGAGGATAGCTCTAACTTCTCTAATATTGTTTCTGAATGCAGATGGTTAATGCAACAATTGAAGCTCCCACATTTGAAGCATCATTTCAGGGAAGGAAATGAGGTGGCAAATTTACTGGCCAAGTAAGCTATCAAGAACCCACCATCATCAACGTGTTTTTACCATACATGTCCACCCTTTTTTGTCGAACAAGAAGTGATCAAGAACAAGCATAGAGTTTGTAATAGTGCTAGGAGTATTTTTACAAATGTTTGTAACTATTTGGTCACTGTGGGCAACAGTAATGCCCTAAAAACATCTATTTCGCCTATATAGTTTTTTATTCTATTATAACTAATATAATATATTCATGTGTTGCGTTAAAAAAAAAAAGTTGAATGAAGTAGCTAGCTCAGTTTCAAGCCATATGGTATTATTATGTTTAAATATCTTTGATGAATCCAAAGTTCTGAAATAAGACTAAAATTGCACGGGACAACGGGGTAAGGAGAACAAAGTTGAGTTTCCTTTATGGGATATATTATACTTTTTGTCCCCTAAAGTAGAGCTATGCCAAGAGTTGGCCTGTAATGTAAATGCTTTACTTTTGCCCACAGCACACCAAAAAGTATTACACAAATAGTAAATTAGATTCAATATTTATTTTTTGCAGCTGGTATACATAGATTATATATTGATTATACACATATTATTCATGAATTATACATACATTATACATCCGCCAAATATTTTTAGTTTAAGAGATTAGATGACAGCTATTTAGGTTAATTCTTCGTAAAATTTTCCTTGGTTGTCCTTTTTTGTATGGTGATTTACAAGAATGACCTTGGAAGTAGGCGATCTTGAATATTAGACCCTGCTTGCTCTAATAGTAAACCTTAAGTTTAACAAGTTTTGCCCATGACCAAAAAATTTCTCTTTTAACCTTGAAGGCTTGCCCATGGGACAAGCGGGAGGCTAAAATTCAAGATCACCCCTTTATGGTGTCATGTTTTTATAATTTTTTTTCCTTTTGTATCAACTTGTTTAACAAAATGACTCTAATTTTATTTCTTTTACAATTGATGGACCTTTAAGCCCTCCGTCTAAAGGTCCATTTTGAGCAAACTAAAAATCTAATAAGAAAATAATAGACCATGGTCTAAAATTTTGTAAGTTGTTGCATATATTAAACCAAGTCTAATATTGTGTGAGCAAACTGAAAAGGTGTAAAAAAATTTAAATTATTATAGGTGTTAGACCATAGTTTAATATTTTGTGAGCAAACTAAAAATTGTATGAGCAAATATTAGATCCGAGCCTAGCATTGTCGAGATGGAGGTAATTTTTCAAGGGTTATATTTGCACAACTTTATGAAATAGGGGGAAAAATATCTAAACAATGACTTTAAAAATGGACATTTGCATAAATAAAAAAAAAATTCACTGGTTGTCCATTTTTTGTATAAACTGTTTAATAAATGGCCTTTTTTTCTCTTGCAAATTATGTACCTTTTGGACCACAATCTTAAGATTAATTTGAGCAAACGAAGAATCTTATAAGAAAAAACGTAAGACTCAATTTTAAATTTTTGTAGATTATCGAAAATGTTAGACCACAATCTTAAATTTCGTCTTTAAGGTGGATCAAATTGAAAATTAAATGAACAAATATCAGACCTGAGCCTAATGTTTATTCGGAAATAGAATTTTCTAAGAGCTATAGCCTATATTTGCACTAACCTTCTAAAATAGAAACAAAATCTAAGCGTTTGCCGAAAAAAAAAGGGCAGCCTAGTGTATAAGTCGTTCCGTTCCGTGCTGCAAGATTCGGAAAGAGCCATACTGCAAGGGACGTGATGCAAATAACCTATTCTAATGCAAGTACTGGTTGATTCTACGATTTTAACCTGTGACCTATAAGTCAAACAAAAATAATTTTATCATTGCTCCAAGGATTTCCGGACCTAAAAAGGGACTTTTGCATAAATCAGCCATGTGGTGGGACAAATTGGGCTGACGCTAGAACTAACATCTATTCGGGTCAATGATTTTGCTCTTTGCATATTTATTTTTAGTTTTATGACCCAGCTAACTATATGCGGAAGATTTACTTAATTTTAAAGATCTAAAACGATCATTTTCTTAATTTTAAAATTGTAAAGAAGTATAATGTATAAATAGCACCATCCTCTTCTGTAAATACGCAAAAGATAAGAACGAAGCTCAAATAATAGATGGAACCGATTATTATTATTATTATTATTATTATTATTATTATTATTATTATTATTATTATTATTATTATTATTATTATTATACGAATGCTCTACCAAGCTCATAGGAAGCCATGTGAGTGCCGACTTGCTGTCTTCAAATTGCGTTATTTGAATTGTTTTACAAAGATATTATTTATTTAGCATAAACATATTTATTTACGATAAAGTAGAAGTAGCGAGTACAAATGTTGTATTTATATCCACTAATTAGAAATCTTGATCCGCCATTATGGGAAGGTACACTGCTAATCTGCTATACACATAAAATATTTGCATCCATCAACACTAACTTTAATTACGTATAAAAAAAAATTAACGCTAATTAGAGAGATAAATGGAGTTAATTAGAAGAAGAAAAGCACCCGAAAATGAAATTCATCAGCATGACATAACAGACGATGAAGATGATAAGAAAATTAAGAATAGTAACGTTAGAACCAAGCAGAAATGGTCATGTATTGATAGTTGTTGTTGGTTTGTAGGATGCATATGCACTGTGTGGTGGATTTTGTTATTTTCATACAATGCAATGCCAGCGTCTTTTCCTCAGTACGTAACAGAGGCGATTAATGGGCCAGTAGCTGATCCCCCTGGTGTTAAGTTACGAAAAGAAGGATTAATGGCTAAACATCCAGTAGTTTTTGTTCCTGGAATTGTTACTTGTGGCCTTGAGTTATGGGAAGGACATCAATGTGCTGACGGATTGTTTCGAAAACGGCTCTGGGGTGGCACTTTTGGAGAAGTATACAAAAGGTATGATACTTTAATTTTGTTAAATTGCGCGATAATGTGATCATTGTTAGTGAGAGTACACTTTTAATTACTTGATTATGTCATCAACACGCCCCTCACGTGAGGGTTAATTCTTTTTCATGGGCGAATTAGGTGGCGGTTAGATACAAATCCAGGACCTCTTGTCGGCTTTGATAACATATTGAATTGTGTGACTATCTCATTTAAAAGCTTAAGTTGTTAGAGAGAGTACACTTTAGTTACTTAATTATGTCATCAACACACCCTTACGTGCTGTTTTGTTTTCCTTTCCTTTATATATAGGGGTAGGAGAAGGGAAAATGGGGAGGAGATTACAAGGTGGGAATCGAGTCGTTACCAACTAGGTGAAAGTTCAGGTAACCAACCAACTGAGCTACTAAGATTCCTCTCTCACGTGCGGGCTTAATACTTTTTAATAGGTGGTGGTGAGACACAAGTCTAAGACCTCTTGCCAGCTCTGATAATATGTTGAACTGTGTGACTATCTTATTTAAAAGCTTAAACTGTTTGAGAGAGTATACTTTTAATTATTTAATTATGTCTTCAACAACGTCGCAAAAAAGTTACTTTTGATTTTCATTTATTGTGTATGATGGTTACAGACCATTGTGCTGGGTGGAACACATGTCATTGGACAATGAATCTGGATTGGATCCTCCAGGTATTAGGATTAGGCCAGTTGCTGGACTTGTTGCTGCTGATTACTTTGCACCTGGATATTTTGTCTGGGCAGTTTTGATTGCTAATTTGGCGCAAATAGGATATGAGGAGAAAACAATGTATATGGCTGCATATGACTGGAGGCTTTCATTTCAGAATACTGAGGTATAAATGTCACTTTGTTCGGGGTTGTCCTTGCGCTTGAACTTTGTTGTTTTCTTAATCAATTGTAATGATAATGCTCAATTCATTTCATCAGGTGCGCGACCAGACGCTAAGTCATATAAAAAGCAAAATAGAACTGATGGTTGCAGCTAATAAAGGCAATAAGGCAGTCATTGTTCCACATTCTATGGGGGCTATATACTTTCTGCATTTTATGAAATGGGTGGAGACACCGGCTCCGATGGGTGGTGGGGGTGGTCCTGATTGGTGTGCCAAGCATATTAAAGCAGTGATGAATATTGGCGGGCCATTTCTTGGTGTTCCTAAAGCACTAGCTTCGCTTTTCTCAGCAGAAGCGCGGGATATTGCTGTTGCCAGGTAAACCTGGTTCATAGAGCTAAGTCATTTCTTCGTTTCTAGAAGTAGTGTAATGCATCAAATTTCTGTTGATGTTGGGAGTTTTTCTTTTTTTTTGTGCTTTCGTCTTATGTTTTTGAAATGAGCTGAGAGTCTATCGGAAACAGCCTCTCTACCTTCACAAGGTACAGTCTGCGTACACATCACCCTCCCCATACTCCACCTGTGGGATTACACTGGGTTTGTTTTTTGTTGTTGTTTTTGTCTTGTGTTCTGAAACCTTACCAGCTCTTCTTAGCTAATACTAGTCGGTTGAGTAGTAACTGCAGTTGAACATGTGACATACATCCTTATTTCCTTTTCCCTCAACTTTCCAGTATGAATCCCTGATGTTCCGCAAGATACTATTTGATAGCTTTTTATGCTTTAAAACTAAATGCTATATGTAAATGATTTTAAGTAATATGTTCTGAATTACTTTTGCGTGTAATATGTTCCTTCTTCCTTTGTAGTTCTCCTTGTTTGTTAGTAATTCACCTTATATTTCAGGGCTATAGCACCGGCTGTTATGGACAAGGATTTATTTCGTATTCAAACACTACCGCACTTAATGAAGATGCTGCGAACATGGGATTCAACCATGTCTATGATACCAAAAGGAGGAGAGACGATTTGGGGTGGTATTGACTGGTCACCTGAAGAAGGCTATTCTCCTTGCAAAAGAAAGCTACGAGACAACAATAATCAGATATCAAGTCGTAATGACAATCAAACGATAGAATCTAAAGGAAAATATATTAATTATGGAAGGATGATAGCATTTGGAAAGGATGCAGCACAGAGACATTCCTCAGATCTTAAGAGGATCGACTTCAGAGTAATGCTAATCAGAACTCTAACTGCTCCTTGTTTTTCGTTCTATACGTATTTCCATTCTTTCTTCTATTTGTTTCAACTTTGAGTCTATTGTGGGTCATTTGAAGATTATGGATGACAGTTTTAAGGACACTTTGCAAATTAGAACTTTTAAGACTCAAGATAAACATGAAAGAGTACCAATAGATTTATTATCTGTAAAAAAATTAGCGCTTTCACAGGAAGTTCTTATTCTGGTTCATTTAAGGTTTCTGCTTTTTTTTGCTTGAGAAAAACACTTGTGAGGCATAGCATTGGTAGATCTGTCACTTAACATTACATTTCTGATTTGAGAATTGCCAAAGATGAATCGTATATGCATATGGGATGCATCATACATGGTTTCCTATCTTAAAACCCGAGCAGATGTGCTTGGTGTTATGTAGGTATAGGATATGATAGTTTCCACCTTCATCCTTTATATTCTATGATGACTTTTCTAGAAATGTTTTAAGTCTGCAAACATCAAGGGAAATGCTAGACATTTTGATCCTTGTACAGCAAAGAAAAACAAATAAAAATAATAACTACATAGCGGTTCAACAGAAACACATATAAGATGAACATAATTCAGCAGTCCCACAGGATTTAACTGAATGGCAACTAAGGTGAATAATATGTGATGTCTAAATCTATGTCTTTCTGTGGTTCGTGTTCATAAGCTTATTATACTAAGTTCCAATATTTTGACATATCAATTTATGCCTTAATATCTGGTACTTACAAGCTTTGCGAAATTATATCTTTCCCACTCACTTGTTGTTACCTGGAAGTAGCTAGCGTTTTTTTACATGCAGGGTGCAGTGAAGGGCACAAACGTTGCAAATAACACATGCGATGTGTGGACCGAATACTATGACATGGGTGTTGCTGGTATCAAAGCAGTGGAAGAATACAAGGTTTATACAGCTGGTGATATTTTGGATTTGCTCAACTTTGTTGCCCCAAAAATGATGGCTCGCGGAGATGCTCAATTTTCATATGGGATAGCTGAAGATTTGGATGATCCGAAGTTTTCACACTACAAATACTGGTCAAATCCATTGGAAACAAAGTGAGCTCTTCCTCTTGCACTTCTGTCTCCATATTATTTTAGTTCATAGTCTTTGTACGGATGCTCTCTAGCTCCCCAGGGTAGGGGTAAGGTCTGCGTACATTTTACCATCTCCAAAGCCCACTTGTGAGATTTCACTGAGTTGTTGTTGTAGTTGTACAGATGATGCCTCTTATTACTTGATATTTCACAGGTAGAAAATGGCTCTTCGTTTTTCTTTTACTTGGTGGAAAAGAGATCTTTTCTCGTCTAGTCTCTTTTCCCTCGACATTTATGTTATAAAAGGAAGTAGCCTCGACATTTCATGTTTACCTTACTAACCCTGCAGGTTACCAAATGCTCCTGACATGGAGATTTATTCAATGTATGGAGTCGGCATTCCAACTGAAAGAGCATATGTTTACAAGCAGACACCAATAGCACAATGTCATATTCCATTCCAGATTGATACTTCAGCTGATGAAGGAAATGAAGGTTGCTTGAAGAATGGTGTTTTCACTGTTGATGGCGATGAGACGGTACCTATTTTAAGTGCTGGCTTTATGTGTGCAAAAGGATGGCGCGGGAAAACTAGGTTTAATCCTTCAGGGATCAAGACTTATTTAAGAGAGTATGATCATGCTCCACCTGCTAATCTTCTTGAGGGCCGTGGTACTCAGAGCGGTGCACATGTTGATATAATGGGAAATTTTGCTTTGATTGAAGATATTATGAGAGTTGCAGCTGGTGCTACTGGCAAAGATTTGGGAGGTGATCAAGTTCACTCAGATATATTTAAATGGTCTGAGAAGATCAATTTACGTCTTTAGGGAACTTTGGTTACGCTGCTTTCTCTTATATGGTGACTTAACGACTAGAGTATCACGTTCATATCTAAGTCATAGTAATGGTGATCATTCTTTTGTTTTGAGGTTCGTCGTGTCAAAATGCCTGCTTCATGTATAATCATGAATTGATTGATACGCGTTCATCTGGAGGCCACACGAACCTCTCCTGTCAATTATATCACTTGAAAAGATACTCTATGCTTTATAGAATCATTGGAAACTCTGGAACTATTGCTGACGATTGGAGAACCTAGCAATTGCTTTCGTTTATTTGATTAAGTAGATTAAATTGTTCACAGATAGAATGCAGGATGCGTTATGTATCGCGCAGTGTAATTTATCAAAGTTGAAACTTGTTACCCTAATCAGGAACAAGGAAGTAGACCACCAGCAGGGATAGAGTTGATATTGTACCATCATAGCTTTTCAAAAGTTTGGCATTTTAATTTTGTTGTAACATGAACTTGTGGAATACCTGCTCCAGTGCTCAGTGAATGAGCAGCTTTTTAGTGATGGCTTTTGTTCCTTATTTTCGATAGTGATCAATTTCTTGGCTTGTGTAGTTTAGTTAAAAAATGAAAAAGTAACAATTGTCGGGAGCCTTCACATAACTAGTAAAGTTGCTGTCATATGATCAGGAAGTCACGGATTTGAGCCGCGAAAACAGTCTCGTGTAGAAATATAGGGAAATGCTGCATATAATAGACTCTTGTGGTCCGGCCCTTCTCCGGACCCAACGCATAGCGGGAGCTTAGTGTCACAGACTGCTTTTCTTTTTTTTTTTTGGTCAGGGAGATGAGAACCTCGGTGTGGCATCAGCATTAATCTAGTTATCGCACATTTGCAATAATGGTACTGATCATGTAGTAGTAATTCGTTTGCTTGGTCTTATTTATGTGGTTTATTTACATTTTAGTATAAAGAAATTACAAGTAAAAAGCTGGAAGGAAAGAAATGAAAAAGAAAATGCCCTGTAAAAGATAATTGGAAGGAAGGATGGAGGTCTGACATATAGGTGTGGGAATCAAATGGTTATGTTTGACTTCTAAAAAGCTGGATTCTTTGCCAAATAGGCATTAAAAGTATACTCTATTAGATAATGTTTGACTTTTATACTTGATAGTTTAATGCAGTTTTTAATACGGAAAATGGTCAAATATATCCTTATATTATGAGAAATGGTTTAAATATAGCATTCGTTATATTTTGGGTCCAAATATATCCCTGCCGTAATACTATTGGTTCAAATATACCCTTCTTCCGTTAGGTTTGTCCAAGATGGACATCCAATCCTACGTGACACTGACATTTGATGAGGTGAATGTCACCGGGAATACCACCTTAATGCCCCTAACTCATTTTATCCCTCCCTTCTATTTTTTTCCCACCATTTAATGGATTAGGGGAGCTGAGTTGACATGTCTCATGACATCCACCTTATCAAATATCAGTACCACGTAGGATTGAATGTCCACTTTAACAAATTTAACGGAATAGGGGTATATTTGAACTAATACTATTACGGTAGGCCTATATTTGGACCCAAAGTATAACGAAAGCTATATTTAAATCTTTTTTATAGTATAAGGATATATTTGTCCCTTTTTCGTTTTTAATATATCATGCCATTTAAAAAATAATTAGAAGTAACTAGCTAAACATAATAAGTGAATTAGTAATCTAAAAAATAAATTAAATAACCTTCTATAACAAATTAAACTTTAATGATTAATGTAAAAGTTTCATTACACTGTCTAGCTTATACTTATAATAAAATAAAATAAAATAAAAAGGAATATTGTTACACTTATATTATCGTTTTTAGTAAAATCTTTATTAGAAAAGTTATTATAGTTTACTTATTACTAATGCTTATATTGCTCATACAAATATTGTTGCACAACATAAAAATAGAATCCAAATAATGTATTAACAATAGTAAATTTTATGTTGATATTAGTCCTGTCAGTCAATCTTTATTGTATTTTATTAATACATTGTAAATTGTAAATTGTAAATTGTAAATTAGTAAAATACAGACAAGATCTTTATAGGGAGGGCATCATAATGGACTCCGTGTAATGTAAGAGAAAGAACCCATTTTTGCAATTCGGGCAATTTCAGTTTTCTCGGTGGCGGTAGACGCGCTGTGACTTCTTCACCCTTTCCAATTCCGTTGACATAAAACGGTGTCGTTTCTGGTCAAATTCAATTCTCTTCGCTACGATCGCTACATTCTCTCTTTCCCCGTCTCTCTTTGTAAGTCTCGTCTTACTTGTCTACATCTGTATTGACGGATCACCTAGTTTGGATCGCACAAGAAAATGGGTCTAGGGTTTTGAATTAAGCTCTGAAAACAATTTTTTATTTTAAAATCCCTTTAAAGTTGGGATTTCTATTGATTACTTAAGATTTTGTAAAGTAGCTACAAAAGCTATTATTGTCAATCGAGTAGGTGATTTTGGATCGTTGTAGAGAAACTTTTTTATGGATTATGCTGTTTATTCTTTGCCAATTTAGCTCTTATTGTTGTTGTATGTTAACTAGCAATTGTGAGCCTGTAGACTCCAGTTATCACTTGGTATGATTATGTATACCACAGAAAAAGAAAGAAAGAAAGAAATAAAGAGCTAAAAGATACTGAATGCAGGTTGGATAGAAGACTTAGCTCAAGTTTTCACTGAATAGAAAATAGATTCTTTGGCAAGTTGTTGCTTCCCTTTTCCGGGAAGTGTTCTATGTTCCCATCCGTATTGCACGTTCATCATTGTTCCTTTCTACACGTTATAACCTTCTATTAGTTCAATATTTGACTGGAAAAGCTCATCATTTAAAAGCTTAAGAGCAATTGAGGTTTTAGTTAGGTTCATAATTGTTCTTCACCAAGTCTCTGATCTAATGATCTTGAGCTTATCAATGAAACCCCTACTTAATTATAGGAAGAAAGCACTCTGACCTTGAGCTTAAGGTCATTCCCTCCTTTAAATCAAGTATAGAAATGCTAATAAAGTACTGTTTCGAAAAGAAAGTATATAGATGATAGAGGTGATGTTTTTCACAAATTTCTTAGAACAATCTGCTACGGTTTTAGTGAGTTGAACATTTATTTCCTTGTTAATTTGAATCCCTTTGGAACATACAAGTCATTTTTTTAAAGATGGAAAATATAAGTCATTTTAGCTTAGTGTCAAGCAAAGATTGATATTTTATTCCTTTTTTTCTTTTGATCAAGTAAGGAGTAATTCTATTAATACTGGGGAAAACTCCCGTACACAAGAAATATACAAAAGATGGAGAACCTATAAAAATAAATGGTTCTCTACATAAGACACTCATCCTTCAATACATATAGGAACATCACCGGTGCACTAAAAAGATATTAATGATAAACGACTATTCTTCAAATGTTCAAAATCATGCTCAATTCCTTTAAAAGATCTCCTATTTCTCTCTATCCACACTATCCACCTTAAAGCTGACCGACATGGTCCATACTAACCAGACCATCTCAGAATCTCCTAACACAGGAGATCCCCCTCTTCTTTGAGTTTTTGGTAGTCAAAATCATTCCTCTAGCCGCCAACTATACAAAAACACACACCTTTCCTGGCGCTTTGAGAATCCAAACTGATAATATATTCTATTTATGATAATTGAAGTACACAAAGCCTTAGCCTTGCCACCCATCCTTGAATATGAATTATCTAAATCTTGATATATCAAGTTAGAAAGATGCACCCAAATATTTACCAATCCTGTTATTCTAAAGCTACTTATACATACATACATAGACGTGTGTGTATATTTATTTTATTCTAGCAATTTGGTCTATCTTAAGCATCAGAAGTGAGGCTGGGTTTGCTTCTGCACCCAAGGGTACCCAATGGTCAATGAGATGAAAACATTGGAGAGGGTGATTTCTTCCCATCTGGCTAAGTCTTGGGTGGTAGAGTTACCCTGTGTTTGTGCTGGTGGGAGATAGCAGGCATTTGTGGAAATATCAATCTAAGCCGGACACCACCATTTAAAAAAGAAGGGGGGGGGGGGTTACACCATTACAGTCCGGAACTAACACTTCTTTTGTGCTATTTTATGTGACATAATTTGGCTTTCAGGTCAAGCCAATCAAATGTTGAATTTAATTTACTGTCGGTTGAAACTTGAATAATGGAAAATTACAGTAAAAATTATTATGAAGGTGATGATTATATTGTAAGCATTTTTGTCAAATATGGAAAGATAGTGATGAAATAAAAAGGTTTGACTGTCACAAGTCGAACTCTGCCAAATAAGTTACCCCTTGATGCACTTACATTAACTCTCAGAGCTATTACAGGGACATAATAGTCCTTTTCCAGATTCGTTGGACCTTTTATTTCTTGTGTATTTTGGAGTACAAATTGCATATTAGATGTAATTTGTGGAAAACCATCTTCTTGTTTAAAGCTTTCTCTTCCAGTACATTTCTTGTACAAGAGCTCTCCTTTTCTTTGGAAATAAATACTTAAAAAGGGGGGGGGGGGGAAAC